ACTAAGTTTTGAAGTGTTTAAAATTATAATAAATAATTAATTAAAAATTAGGAATAAACAGCGACTTTTATACATAAACTAGTTATATTTAATAATGATTTTTTAGTGTAATTTAATAATAGAGTCATTATTTCAAATCTTTTAAATCTCTCATTACCAAAATCATTTCGGGGATTGCCGATTATGTTTGTTATAATTCCGAATTATTATATTACAAGATATCTAAATTTTTAATTTTTTTAAAAGGTTATACTAATAGATGGACAAGAGAAATATTTATTATTAGTGAAATTAGATATACAAATCCTGTTACTTATAAAATTACGGATTTACAAGGAGAAGAAATTATTGGCAGTTTTTATGAGCAGGAATTGCAGAAGAGTAAATTTTAATATTATTTTTATATTATTATTTTATTAAAGGCTGCTTGAAAAGTATGTTTTTGTAATTTGAAATTATTATTTTATTAAATTTTTAGTTTATAAAATTATTATTTTTTTTTATTTTTTTTTAAATGGAAAAAAATATTAATATAAAAGCGGCGGCTGCCGCATATACACACAGATGTTCATTCTAAAAGACACTTTTATTTTTTATCGATTTTTTAAAAATATTAAGATTGGGGACCCTCAAATAATGTTTTTATTTTTTCGGAAAAAAATTAGACTGTCCGATAGAGTTCACTCATTGTGTTACAACCTACATATATACATACATTCACGGAAGATAGCAAATTAGATGAAGAAATAACATCCGATTCAGTAAAGCAGGCCAAGTATTGGGACAGCTCGCCCCCCCCCCCCCCCCTTAGCCCAGTCTTCATAAAGAGACATCTCACACAACGTATATTTATTCTCACCATGTGCAACGAGTGCCAGACATCGTCACTCACAACAAATCAATAAAGAAAAAATCTCCCTCCACATCTACTTATGTTTCCGTTCGTTTAATTTTTCTATCATCGACTTGTGTGTGGCTGAAGTTTATATCCTTTCCCTGTCTCGTTATTAGCATGTTTTCTGTCTTATCCTGATGGACAACTTGTCCCATTTTGTGAGCTCCTTCTTTTAAGAGAGTCAGTGTTTGTGTGTGTGTTTTTTACAGCTTCTAGTTCCTTTTCTCCAACGATATCAATGTCATCTGCATAACCAAGTATTCTAGCAGATTCTCCATAGTACACTCTTGTTTCTATTTCCTTATAATTTTCTCCGGGACCAAGTTGAAAAGGAGTTGGGACAGAGCATCATCTTTCTTCAAACCAGTCTGACTTTCTGACTTTATATATTTCTTTATTACAAGTGTCTTCCATGCATAGTTTGGTTACGGTAATTAACTTCTTTGGTATTCTTAAGTCCTTCATAACATTGCATAAACTATTTATATTTCAACACTTTTTAAGCTGAATGGCAAATACATATATTTGAAGCAATATGAAATGTACTAACAAATGCTTGAAGGCAGGTTTACACATGCTGGGGTGGGCTGGTATTCAACTCCGGCTTTCCACAAATTCTGGGTGGGAATTGGGGCGTGGAGACCCCTTTGAATTAACGAGGTGGGTGGGGCGGGGGCGCAAGCGTTTTAAAGTGCCTGAACTCCCTGGTTCCGGCCCCTGTCTCCTATTTAATAGAGTGACACGTGACCTCTTGTAGTGCCACGTATTTGAAGACCTCTCACGTACTGAACACACCACCTAGGTGAACGCTTTAGGGCCTGTTTAATAGGCTTACATTTTGCAGATTGATCAGCACTCGATGGCGTCCTCACCCGCTCAGGACTGCAGGTTACCCGGGGCTAGTGTCGCCGTTTAAGGGGCGGGGGTGAGATTAAACGGGATTTGACTTGTTGGTCTACCATCCAGATTCTTTGTCTTATTCAGCACTCTAATGCCTTGAGGTTCACTGTTGCATATATAAACCATCTCCACTCATCTCTGAAATTGTTCTTCTCTTTCCATTTGCTGTATCCAAGTGTAGGCCTGCCGGATATAATCTCTCCACCGTCTTCTCAGTCTGCCTCATGGTCTGTTCTTTTCTTAACTCTCCGTCAGCTGACTCTCTTTCTCTCTCTCTCTCTCTCTCTCTCTCTCTCTCTCTCTCTCTCTCTCTCTCTCTCTGCTTCAGACATGTCAGTTGTCTATTAGCCCTCATAATGCCAGTAATCAGTGGTGATTTAAAAATATGAATTTCGTTGTTGCCTCTCACCCTCCACTCTTCGCTGTTTGCATCCATGATGGCTCCAAAAATTCGTCAGAAGACTTGACAAAACGTGTAATAAGAATTTTGTTTTGTTTTTGTATTTGTGGTTACTCGAGATCTGTTAACTCAAAGTAGTAAACTTTCAGGGAGCAGCCCAGAAGGGACAAACCGATCGATCGACAGCACTTGGTGGTCATTTGGTCAATATCACACAACATCTGAGAATATGTCCGAGTCGTACTTTAATCTAGTCCGAGCTGGAAGCCGAGATCAAAGTTATAAAATTCACCATGGCGGGGATCCGAACTTATGACCACTAGTCCAGTAGGTACGCGTGCTGGCGTCTGCTTTGTCCTGGCTCTCTATAGCTCCCGTGTTCCAGCATTAAAATTATATGTTGATCATATGCTCATTTTAGCGGTGATATTTTGAATTTATTTATAGAAGAATCTTTATGTCTGGGGCTAAATTTATTTTCATCTGTAGAAGAGCTGTACCTGGTTACACGTAGGTTATTTGATCTGCAGAAGTTCTGTACCTTGTAACACGTAGGTTATTTGATCTGCAGAAGTTCTGTACCTTGTAACACGTAGGTTATTTGATCTGCAGAAGTTCTGTACCTGGTTACACGTAGGTTATTTGATTTGCAGAAGTTCTGTACATGGTTACACGTAGGTTATTTGATTTGCAGAAGTTCTGTACCTGGTTACACGTAGGTTATTTGATTTGCAGAAGTTCTGTACATGTTTACACGTAGGTTATTTGATTTTCAGAAGTTCTGTACCTGGTTACACGTAGGTTATTTGATCTGCAGAAGTTCTGTACCTGGTTACACGTAGGTTATTTGATTTGCAGAAGTTCTGTACCTGGTTACACGTAGGTTATTTGATCTGCAGAAGTTCTGTACCTGGTTACACGTAGGTTATTTGATCTGCAGAAGTTCTGTACATGGTTACACTTAGGTTATTTAATCATAAGGGGGCTGCGTTGGCATGGTGTCCGCCTCGAGTGCTAGAGGTTCCGGGTTCAATCGCCGGTAAGGGTTGGGATTTTTTCACGTGGACTTGGACTTCTAGTAATTCACCCTGGTCTCTAGGTATTGAGATCGGACGCCAATGTGTATTGTTGCACACGTAAAACATTCCTTGGCAGTTGGAAATTTTAAAAAAGTAGTCCAACGGCCCTGCCCGGGCAAAATGTAGAGTAAAAAAATCTACCCGAAGTATTTAAGGATCCTTGCCGGTGCTACAGAGCCTATGCACTGTGCAGAGCTCCTTCGGACACGAGTTAGAAGAAAAACGGAGCACTTATGGGTTACTACCTGTGTGCCATGATGTTGATCCGTTGTTTAAACTTCAAACTTCATTTGATCTGCAGAAGTGTTGTATCTGGTAACAAATGTGTTATTTGATCAGCAGAAGTGTTGTACTCGTACCTGGTTATAAAACCTGTTATTTCATCTGCACAAGTACAGTGGCCTCTGGTGCTTTATTAATTATTTAGATCAGAAGAATCGTCATTGTCTCTGTCAAGTGGAAGTAAATGGCTGGAGAATTCCTCATCTCCTGTAGGAATACTGATAGCAGCTGTTATTGGAAAAGTCGCTGATGTGTTGGTAGCAGGAACTGTTGGGAACGTTGCTGGAGGTGTGGTGGAAGGAGCTACTGGTGTAGTCGCTGGAGACGTAGCCACCGCACAAAATTCAACATCTTCTGAGTCATTCTCTTTAATTAGAAGATCACTGTCGCCATGGTAGCCGTCATCACTGGGTGTAGGAGAGGGTTTACCCGAGGATGTGTTGTTGGTGTGGGCAAGAGCTTGATCATCTAGAGGACCTTCAGGTGGGGCACTTGGAGATTGGGCTTCATTGCTGATGAAAATATAGTTCAAATCTTCTGGAGAGTTTCTCCCAGGAGATATCTGACCTGGATCGCTCTTTACCACTTGGGGTGGCAGCAGATCGCTCCTTTTCCCTTGGGGTGGCAGCAGACTTGCAGCTGGTGCACTGGAGGATTTAATTTTTAGCTGTGAAATTATTTTGATGTACTCTGGTTCTCCCTTCAAAGGACCAGCCTTCACGCTGCTGCCTTGTCCAGTGCTTGTGCGAAGTAAGGGCCTGGCTGCTGGGGTCAGCTTTCTGGGCGCTCTTCCATTTCTGGATACATCTTGGCTCCGGGGAGTGTGGCCAGCATTTGCGCTCATGATCCTAAGATTGCCCACTTTGTGACCTGCCGAGGAGTGGACCGGGTTCACCTTTAGCTTTGGGCTATACATCCTGCTTCGATCCCCGTAAAAGCTGGCGTTTGAATAATTACCTCTGGACTCGCTTTGTCTGGAACTTGCTGGATGAGGCCGCCTTGTCTGATTTTCTCCAGAATTTGTGTTAGAGTTCTTGTTATCATCCTCATTCATGATGTAGGCTAAAAGTGTGCTTGGATTGACTTTTCTGTTCCCTTCTAATTTATGACTGATTATACTGTCCACTGAAAGTCCTTTTATTATCTCATCTTCTTCTGTAGTCAGGGGATCGATGTAAACAACTTTGACCTTTGATGTATCGTCTCGGCTGTTTTTGGATTCCTGGAAATGAACAGTTACACTTATAAGTTTAAAAGTTAAGGGTCAGGAAAAAGTATGCTTGTGTTAGAAACTAGGACGTCATGTGTGGGGCTTAAAGCTGATTGAAGGGAAACGGAACAGACCCATTGTCCCGTCTGAGAGGCTAGGAACAAAACGTCTGCATGCAAATGAGCTAGACCTGTAAAAGGGATGTGCATGCAAAACTCAAGTTTTGAAACAACATGAAAGTCCAGAAGTGGACGAGCAACCACAACTTTCCCTCAGAGTTTACGGCCGATGAACGGGAAGAAGAAGAAAGAAACTGACATCATCACTATTAGGTGGCAAGTTACTTGCAGAACATCGTTTCCTCGTCCTACCCACTTAAAAGACCCTTGAACCTCCACCTGCCTGTCTGAGGTATCCACTAACTATCTTGAATACATTCGCTAGTGTTGTCTAGGTCATTTGTTGTCTCATCTGCTTTGTTTTCCACCCCTGATTATAGCAGAGTTCTTCAAAATGTTTAACCCTTGGATGAGCAAAAGAGGGGAGGGAACTTGTGTCACAGATAACATTATAGTAACCTAAAAAACAGAAATATGAGCAAACGTATAGTAATCTGTTTTAAAATCCGTTGTCTTAAAATTACAATTTCCAGCGAATACAACATCTGCTGCTGCGCTGTTAGGTAGAGGTGAAAAACATGATATACGTCGTTGGAGTGTTATTTCTGATAGATGAAGTGCTGCAATAACATCCACTAGATCTATGTGTATTAATAGGTTGCACCTAGGAAATGAATATCAAAATGTGAAGCAAGCCAGAATCGATAATCTGACGAATTCTGTATACAAAAAACACACTTTCTGCCTAACTGCTGGGCTTGAGCAGACGCCACAGAAGAAGACACTAAACACTTACATGAGCTGATCTTTCTTTGATCTTGAATCCCTCAGACTTGACCTCCGCAATCTTTGGTCTGATGACCCCGTCTGTGAGTTTCTGGAACTTGACTGGGAACGTTTCAGAAACGACCTGTGGTTTTTGGTAATTCAACATTAGCAAATAATACTGGCCTTTCATAGGCAATCTACCGCAGCGTGTACTTGATGTGTTTATGTATAAACACATTCATAAAAACAAACTCAGAAGAACAATTAACAAGTATCTAAAATATCTTAACAAACTTCTTCTTTTTCCTCTTATAATTATTCTTTTACCCCAGTTATTTCATCGACATTTTGGGGATGGAGATGTGAGGATATTTTGTATGCTCTGTTCAGTGTGTTGTCTAAGTTGGTCTTCATTAATTTAAGGCTGTTCTTGATGCCCAATACTCTAGTCATCCCCTTGTGAGATGCCATTTCTCGTTATTTGAAGCTCCACCCTGGCTTTTGCCTGGGGTCCTGAATAAAGCTGGGATACAATTGCGGTCATGGCGGCTGAAATGGGTTTCTGTGACCTCTCCACGGGTGACCTTCATCCGCGTGGTGGCACTTTGTGTCACTGGATGTTTATTGTGTGTGTGATATTCTAGCGGGGTACAACACGCAAACAAGCAAGTTCTTGATGCCATTGTTCCATCTTCTGCAGGGTATTTTTCTTGCTCAGTGTTAATTAAATTTCTTCAGTGTGGCTCTCTGTGGCCGCTGGACAAGGGCATTTTATCAGATGGCCAAACCATCTCACGTATTGTTCTTTTATGGCCTGTATAACTGGTTTCAAGCTTAGCAAGCTTCTGTTTCCTGGTACTTTGGCAGCTTTTCTAAGATATCTCGTTACTTTTATTATAATTTTTTTTTAAAGTAAGACCCACGTTTGACCCCGGCTGCATAAAGTTGACCAAAAAAAAAAAAAGTTTACAATAAACACAACCTTTAAAAAAGATAGTCTAACTAAATTATAAACTCAATAAATGCTTAACACTAAACTTCTGGGACCCTGCCTCTTGAGTTCTGAAAATTTACAAAGGGAGCTGTGACCCACATCGGTCAAAAAAAGAGGCGGGAATTGTATACATAAAAAAAAAAAAGTAAAGATCCCTTTTCACGCCGTTCGGCGCATCGGGCATACGGGCAGAGCGTCCCATATTTTTACAGACCATCAGCACTCTGTGGGTAATGTGGTCAGCATTACGCCTGCTGTCTTTACTTTTCCAGGACAGCCCATCCTGGTACCCATTTTAGGCTGGGTCGACCTGCGACGTCCCATACCACGACAAAAATCCACGCAGCCTGCAGTGGGTTTCGATCGCGGTATGCTGACTCACGAGTCGGACTCGCAACGCCTTAGCCACGGACGCCGGAATTGTATACATATTTCATATTATTTAAAATATAATTATTTAGCCTACAGCAGCCCAGAACAGTAACTACTACACTGTAATAATAATAATAATAATAATAATAATAATAATAATAATAATAATAATGTTTTCTTTGTGTCACGCCCCTAGCAGTAGCCATGATCATGTTGCTGTTTGTGTGTGTAGATGCTCGGGAAGACTGAGACTAAACTCTGCAGTCCTGCGCACTGGCGCCTTAACATTGAAACGAGCTTGCATCTGTCGGGACGAAGTTTTAGTAGAGATCTGTCTCAGAATATGGTGCCAACATATCATCCGCACAGGGACTTGCAACACAGCTTCTCTTACCATCTCCAGGCTCTTGTAACCAGCTAGGTTTCGTAGGCGGTTCAGAGAGAAAGAGAAGAAGAGGTAGAAGGTAAGGAAGAGATGAAGTAGGCAGAGTGGGTAAAATGATAAAAGAATAGATGTCGAAGAAAGAAGAGAATCGGTCGGATGATAGAGAAGAATTATATGAAATTTTAATATACTGAAGAATGAAACTGTTCGTCATCATCAATATCATCACCGTCATCATCATTATCATCATCATTATCATTATCATCATCATCATTGTCGTCAAGCTTCACTTTTGCTGTTAAGCTGCGTCAGGGGGGGGGGGGGGAATGTGAGATGAGTAGCTCGATAGGGAGCTCTGGCAACTTATTCCGTGACATTGCAGAATGGCTTTAGTATCACCAGGACAGTTCGTCTTTGGGTGCCCTTTTGTTTTCATGTCAGATCTTTTTTTTTTTTTTAGATGTAGCGTCCCTTTAAGTAGTTGTGACTTTTTATCGCTGATAGAATCAGGCTTTTTCATTAATCCCCTCCATAATTCATGGAACAGAATGCTGCAGAATGACCAAAAAGGATGCACACAAGCTATCCACCTTCCACCACAGATGTCGGCATAGAATTATCAAGTGTACCTCCTGTTCATCCTCTTGAACGAGGTTTTTCGCCAGGGACACAGATGAGTATCATTTATTTTGTACATTAAGAGTCCCATGTAGTCACTTCATTGTTACAGCATATCTGTATGAGTACTGTGTTCTTCTTTATTTGCTGATAAAGGCTAATCGCCGCTAAGTCCTTTGTTTTTTGTCATTGATTTTGTAAAGCTAACATAAACAATTTGTTCTTTCTTACCCTCTTTTTCTCTTCCCTATAATTGCCTACCCTTTTAAATACATTTAATTATCAGAATTTTCTGGCTAGATACAATTTCAAGCACTAAATTATTTGAAGTCAAAAACCATGAAACTCTAGACAGTATGATAATTTAAAAATTGATGGAAATGGCTTGGTCATTGGAAACAGCTCTCACATGGACACCAGAGGAAAAGAGAAAAAACGGGGCACCCAAAAACAACATGGAGACGAACGACAGAAAGTGACCTGAGGGCTTCATCTCTAACATGGAAAACTGCACTGAAGATTGCACAGGAGAGGAAAGCATGGAAAGTGTTATGCGGAGCCTCCTCTGCAACTAGGCATAAAGAGAAGTGACTGATAATTCATGAGGAACGATATTTGGCAAAAAACAAACTGGCTAGTGGTTTGCTGGACACGACGTAGTTTGGCTTGTGGTCAGTTAGCTGTTTATTTCCGTATCCTTTACACTACGTTACAGAACTTATTAAGACAAAGAGAGGAACTTAAGTATTTGGGAGCAATTTTCACATCCAACAGAAAACTGGACAAAGAAGTTAGCTCGAGATGTACCAAAGCTAATCAAGTACTGGTTCAATTATCTCCCCTGTTGACACACAAGCAGATACCTCAGAGTACTAAAGTAAACCTTATCAGAACTAATTTTTGGCCAACACTATGCTATCAGTGCCAAACGTGGACACTTAAATCCCCCCAATGAACGTAACATTTTAACAACAGAGATGAAATGCCCTAGAAGAGCTGCAGGAGTTTCAAGCAAAGACAGAATACGAAATCACGAAATCAGACGAATGATAAGAATAAAGCCAGTCTTACAAGTCATCAGAGAACAACAAATGAAGTGGCTTGGACACCTAACAAGAATGCCCAGGTACTATCCGCCAAGCGAGCAACACTAAATCGTTACAACGGGTATAGAGCTAGTGGAAGACCTCGGAAAATATAGAGTGATGGCATTAAGAACAGCAAAACAGAAATGAACATCAGTCTCAATAGTGCTCTTGACAGAGCTCATTAGCGAACGTAACATATCTACCCCCCCCCCCCCTCCCCGACACTTCGCTGAGGTTCAAGGTGGAATAGAAGAAGAAGAAGACAGTACTAATTCTATCACTTTTACTTCTTTAACAGGCAATTCTACGTTCAATAGTTTGGCACTGCTTTATAAACAAACGGCTGTCTACACTCCTGCCGAAACCAACGCAAGGCGATCTACTTCCAGATCGCTCGCAACTGGAATCGAACCGGATACTTCAGATTTGTGAAGTCTTAGGATAAAGCTACATATTATTGAAAGGTAAAGGTGAAGGTGGGAAGATCGAATTTTACCCCGGGCTTTATTACATATCGCTTAGCCTCTCTCCGTAGAACAGCTAGCTGCCTACCTAAATCGTCGCACATAGCACGACCTTCCTAGGTCCGGCGACGATCCCCAGAGACCTCCGTAAAAATTGCTCTTGTGAATTGAACGGCGCCGTAGGGAAACGAACTTACGACCTTCAGAGCGCAAGGCAAACGGTTTGACCACTTCGTCAAGGAGATCTACATAACAGTCCACGGCCAGATGTCCATGGTAACCCGGAGCAAATAATTTGTCATTTTGTCAATGTAAACATAAAACTGAACCAATGGCTAGCTCGTGTAAACAACATCTGGACATTTGGAAGACTGGATGTGTCCAGTTTAGAAAAACTCATAAAATATGGAACAAATGAATTTAGTGAGGACATATGGAAGACTGGATGCGTTCAGTTTAGAGAAACTCATAAAATATGGAAGAATGAATTTACTGAGAATATATGGAAGACCGGATGTGACCAGTTTAGAAAAACTCATACAAAAATGGAAGAATGAATTTACCGAGAATAAATAGAAAACTGCGTGTATAAGTTTAGAGAAACTCAAAACTATGGAAGAATGAATTTACTGAGAATAAATAAAAAAAACTGGGTGTATAAGTTTAGAGAAACTCAAAACTATGGAAGAATGAATTTACTGAGAATGTATGGAAGAGTGGATTCGTAAAAGAAACTAACAGAAAATAGAAAAATGATGTTACAGGTTTAAACATGTCCTTCTGCGCCAGTTTAGCATGGATGATCTTGATATTTTCCTTGGAACACTGGTCGCTCCAGCTGAGGGGTGTAGCCAGTCTCAGGGACTCTCGGACAGCTCCTTCATTGGACAGAGATGCTTCTGATGCTGTGTCTACGGGCATATCCATCTCAACTGGTGTTGATGATTTTTGTATGTCTGTTTCTGTTGCTCTCTCTTCAAAATCTTCATCAAATGCGGACATCCTAAGAGATAATGAGGATCAAAGGAAATTAGTAATGGCTGGTAAAAGTTATTTCGTTATGTCATCTTACTTGATCTTGTTTACTTTGTTGTGCCACGGGTGTACCGAGGGCTTGACAGGTAGGGCAGATGTCAGGGGCTCCACTTGAACGAAGGGGAAGGGGTGTTAGAATCTGGAGGTACAACAATACCTCTCATCTGGAGATACTACAATACCTCTCATCTGGAGGTACTACAATTCCTC